GCCATGATGCGTTTGATGTCGAACTGCGCCATGCCGATGGTCGCGGCGAGGAGCGCGGTGAGGGCGCCGACCCAGGCGACGGTGTCCAGGGCGTAGTGCGGGACGCCCTCGAAGGCGAAGAGCGGGAAGAAGCGGGCGATGAGGTAGACGCCGGCGGTGACCATCGTCGCGGCGTGGATGAGCGCGGAGACGGGGGTCGGGCCTTCCATGGCGTCCGGNNCTGGGCGGACTTGCCGAACGCGCCGACCATGAGCAGGAGCGGGATGGTCCAGGTCTGCCACATGTCGGCGAGGACCTGGCCGTCGGTGGTGACGCCGTTGCCGATCTGGGCGAAGATTTCGTCGTACTGGATCGTGCCGAAGGTGACGAAGGTGAGGAAGAGACCCAGCGCGAGGCCGAGGTCGCCGATNNATCGCGGCGGCGACGGCTGCGGGCTTGGTGTAGAAGTAGCCGATGAGCAGGTAGGAGCAGAGGCCGACGCCCTCCCACCCGAGGTAGAGCAGGACGAGGTTGTCGCCCATCACGAGGCAGGACATGGAGAAGACGAAGAGCGCGAACGCGGCGAAGAACCGCGCGTAGCCCTTGTCGCCCTGCATGTACTCGCTCGCGTACAGCGCGATGAGCGTGCCGAGCCCGGTGACGAAGAGCATCCAGAGCCAGCTGAGGCCGTCCATATAGAAGCCGAAGCTGGCGGTGAAGCTGGCGGAATCGCCCGCGCCGGAGAAGCTCATCCACTCGTAGATCTGGCTGAGCTGGGCGCTGGAGCTGTCCCATTTGAGGAACCCGACGAGCGTGAGCAGGAATGCGACGGCGAGGGAGCCGACGACGGTCCACGCGGGGATCTTGGATTTGACCTTGCCGGCGAGGTAGATGCCGCAGGCGATGGACGCGAGGAGGGGGAGGAGCGGGATGAACGCGAACCAGCCCGGTCCGTCGACGACGGGCTGGGCGGCGAGTGTGCTTGCGTATGTGTTGAGCACGCCGGTCATCCCTGGAGCTCCGCCCATGAGGAGGCGTCGAGCGTTTCACGTCTGCGGAACAGCAGCACGACGAGGGCCAGCGCGAGGGCGGCCTCGGCGGCGGCGATGGTCAGGACGAAGATCACGAAGACCTCGCCCGAGTGATTCAGGTGGAAGCGGGAGAAGGCGATGAGCGCGATGCCCGCGGCCTGGAACATCATCTCCGTGCAGAGGAACATGATGATGAGGTTGCGGCGGGAGAGGAAGCCGACGACGCCCATGCCGAAGAGGATCGCGCTGAGCGCGAGGTAGTGCCAGAGCGTGATCACGCCGACGCCGGCTTCGAGGGGTGTGCTCGGGAGTGTGGCGAGGAGCTCGGCCATGATCAGATGACCCCCCCGCCGCCGAGCACGCTGGCTTGTGAGGATTTCTCCGCTTCGCCGATCTCGATCTGCTTGCGCGCCAGGACGACGGCGCCGAGCATGGCCATCAGGAGGATGACGCCGGCGAGCTCGAGGGCCATGGGGTGCTCCGCGATGAGGGCGAAGCCGACGGAATCGATGTTCGTGACGATGACGTCGTCCGGCAGGCCGATGACGAGGGTGTCGCCCGCGCCGAGCGCGGTCGCTTCCTCGAGGGTCATCGTGTGCTCGGTTCCGAGGAGCTCGGCGAGCTCGGCGCGGTTGAAGACACCTTCAAGGTTGGACGGGTTGTTGACCGTGAAGGCCATGGTGCGGTCGTCGACGTTGAGGCGCGAGGTGGCGACGGTGTCGAGGGCCGGCTCTTCGACGGCCTGGAAGAGGCCGAGGCGGTCGTAGGCGTTCACGACTTTCTTGGGCAGGTCGGCGAGGCGGGCCTGGCCCTCCTGCATCGCGGTGTTCGGCGCGAGGCTCGGGATGCCCGAGGAGAGGATGCCCGTGAGGACCGCGATCAGGACGAAGCCGACCGCGGTGGAGAGGGCGGGCTCGCGGGAGTACTTGTCGTAGGCGTCGACAGAGCCGGGGTCCTGCTCGCTCGGGGCTTGCGTCGCGAGCATGATCACGAAGAGGTACGTGATGAGGATCGCGCCCGCGTAAATGATGATCAGCGCGAACGCGAGGAACTCGGCGCCGAGCAGCAGGTAGAGGGCGGAGGAGGAGAGGATCGTGAGGATGAAGTAGAGCGCGGCGTAGACCGGCCTCGGGTGGGTGATCACGCGGAGGGCCGAGCCGATCGCGATGGCGGCGAAGATGTAGAAGTAGGCGTTGGGGAGGATCGCGGTGGCGGCTTCGAAATCGCCCGCTTTGTTGATGACCGTCAGCACGACGGTGAGGAACACGCCACCGATGCCCGCGGCCGCGACGAGCGCGCCGAGCAGCTGCGGATTCACCTTCTGGCGCGGCATCGCGAGGGCGACGCCGAAGGCTCCGAGGGTGAGGAAGGCGTATATGAGGATCGGGCTTGCGATCGCCTCCACGCGGCGTGCTCCGTGCGTTCGGACAGGGCGGATCGGCGCTCACAAAAGGGCCGACCATTGGGTGCGAAGCATACGGCGGGGCGCGCCGGCCATCAACCGACGGCGCGGGTGTGCAAGGGTCTGCATGGGGTGGTCGGCCCGGGTGATGGGCACAACAGATCGGGGAGGAGGCGGGATCGGTGCATCGTCTGCCGGTATGCTGCGGGACGGTCCTCCCGGTCCCCCCCGATCTCCCTTGTCCCCCCTGGAGCGCGGTGTGAAGCGGCACATTCCCAATCTGCTCACGGTCGGACGGCTCGTCGGCGCGGGGGTGTTCATCGCGCTGCTCAGCGTGTGGGATACGGCCTCGGATCCGGCTCTGCTGCTCGTGAGCGCCGCCGTCTTCGCCATCGCGGTGGTGACGGATGCCCTGGACGGGTACCTGGCCCGGAAATGGGAGGTCGTGTCCATGTTTGGGCGGGTGATGGACCCGCTCGCGGACAAAGTAATCGTGCTCGGCGGGTTCGTGATGCTCGCCTCGCCCGCGTTCGTGCTTGGCGACGGGCGGATGCTCAGCGGCGTGGCATCGTGGATGGTGGTGGTCATCCTCGCCCGGGAACTGCTCGTGACGGCGATCCGGTCGGTGATGGAGGCGCGGGGGATCGACTTCTCGGCCTCGCTCTCCGGGAAGCTCAAGATGATCCTGCAGTCGGTGGCAATCCCGGCGATCCTCGTGCTCGCGTGGATGCACCAGAACGGCGACGGCGCGGGGTGGATCGTCGAGGCGAACCGGTGGGTTGCGTGGGCGGTGGTGGCGGTGACCGTGGTGTCCGGCGTGCCGTACGTGACGCGGGCGGCCCGGGCGAGCGCCCAATTGACTGAATAGCCCCGCACTGAAAAGTACAGTGACGGAGCGCGTCAGCCGCGACGGTCGAGGATTCGGTACTGGATCGCCTCGGCGACGTGAGCGACGGTGATGGTTTCTTCGGCGCTGATGTCCGCGATGGTGAGGGCGGTGCGGCGGATCTTGTCGTAGGCGCGGGCGGAGAGTCCGAGGTCCTGAATGGCTTGCCCGAGCAGCGCTGAGGCGTCCTCGGCGAGGCGAGCGTATTCGTCGAGCTGGCGGCCGCGGAGGTTGGCGTTGATTGTGAGGCCCTGCCTGCCGCGTTGGATTTCGCGGGCTCGGAGGACGGTGTCCTTCATCTGCGCGCTGGACGTGCCGCCCGCTTTTCCGGTGAGCTCCTTCCACGGTACGGCGGGGACCTCGACGTGCAGGTCGATGCGGTCGATGAGCGGGCCGGAGAGTCGTGAGAGGTAGCGGTCCATCTCACGCTGGCTGTTGGCGTCGTCGGGGAGTGTGCCTTTGGGCGTGGGGTTCATCGCGGCGACAAGCTGGAAATTGGCGGGGAAGCGGACGCTGGAGTGCGCCCGGGAGATGGTGACGTGGTGGTCTTCCAGCGGTTGGCGCATGGTCTCGAGGACCGGGCGTGGGAACTCGGGGAGCTCGTCGAGGAAGAGGATGCCTCGGTGGGCGAGGGTGATCTCACCGGGTCGCGGGATGATGCCGCCGCCGATGACGGCGCTGGCGCTCGCGGTGTGGTGCGGCGTGCGCACGGGTCGCGTTGTGGCGAGGCCCGAGTCGTGGCGGCGGCATCCCTCGGCGAGCTGACCGCAGATGGAATAGATGCGCGTGACCTCGAGCGCCTCTTCGGGCGTCATGGGCGGGAGGACGCCCGGGAAGGCTTTGGCCATCATGGATTTGCCGGTCCCGGGCGGGCCGAGCATGAGGAGGTTGTGCCCCCCCGCTGCCGCGACGGTGATGGCGCGCTTGACGGGTTCCTGGCCTTTGACGTCCGCGAAATCGATCTCGGCGGTGGCGTCCGCGATGAGGCCGGCGACGTCCACGGGCGGGTGCGGCTCGGCGTCGAGCAGGCCGTTGAAGATGGCGACGACTTCGTTCAGCGTGCGCACGCCGAGGACGTTGACGCCGTCGACGACGGAGGCCTCGGCGGCGTTCTCCGCGGGGACGATGACGCAGGGGATCCCGAGTTCGAGCGCGAGGGAGGCGAGGACGATGGCGCCTCGGATGGGGCGGACGCGCCCGTCGAGGGCGAGTTCGCCGGCGATGAGGCAGTGTTCCGGCCTGAGCGGATCGCCGGTCGGCCTCTCCTCCAGGAGACCGACCGACGAATCCGAACAGGTGGTCGATCCGGACATCGCGAGCTTCGGGGCTGGGTCGCGCGGGCGGATCACTCCCGACGCGAGGAGCACCCCGACGGCCATAGGCAGGTCGTAGACGGGGCCTTCCTTCCGGACATGGGCTGGGGCAAGGTTCACCAGCAGTTTGCCCGGAGGAAAGCGGTAGCCTTCGTTGTGGATGGCGGATCGGACACGGTCGAGCGATTCCTTGACGGCCTGGTCGGGGAGCCCGACGATGGTGGAGCCGGCCAGGTCGGTCGGCGCGAGATCGAACTCGATCTCGCAGGGGATGCCGTCGATGCCTTGCAGGATGAAGCTTTTGACGCGTGCGAGCATGGGTTCAGCATACCGAACGTTTCCCTTCTATCAATCGTTTTGTTTGGATAATTTTTGCAACCGAACGGAACCCGGCCTATGACGCGGAAAAATGAATCAGATCCGCGTCCGACCGAACGGTTTTCGTCTCGGGTTGAGGCGTACGCGAAGGCTCGGCCCGGGTATCCCGATGGGGCGATGGCGTGGGTTGTCGAGGGGCTTGATGAATCGGGCGCCGCGGTGGACGTCGGGGCCGGCACGGGGCTTTCGACGCGTGGGCTCGAGCGGGCGCTTGGCGATGGATGGGAACTCATCGCGGTGGAGCCGAACGCGTCGATGCGGGAGGCCGGCGCGTCGTCCGGGCGGGCGCGGTGGGTCGACGGGACGGGCGAGGCGACGGGGCTCGCGGATTCGAGCGCGGACCTGATCGTCGCGGCTCAGGCGTTCCACTGGTTCGAGCCGGATAAGGCTATGCGCGAGTTCCGGCGCGTGCTGCGGCGGGATTCGGGGCGGGTCGCGCTCGTCTGGAACACGCACGACACCGCGGTCGAATCGATGGCGGCGTACAAGGCGATCATGATGCGGCACGCGACGGAGCCCCCCGCTTCTCCGTCGTGCTCGGGGTGGAAGAGCGCGGATGTCTCGGCGATTGAGAATTGCGGGCTCTTCGGCGGCGTTGAATCTCGCGTGTTCTCGAACGACCAGGTGCTCCCGCTCGACGGGTTGATCGCGCGGGCGGCGAGTTCTTCGTACATCCCGAGCGAGGGCGCTGGGTACGAGGCGTTGTGCGCGGATCTGCGCGCGCATTTCGAGCGGTATCGCGAGGATGACCGCGTGCGGCTGGTCTACGATACGACCGTGTACCGCGCGGAGGTTGTGCCCGAATGAATGTTCCGATCAACACACCGAAGGGGGAGCCCGGCGGGACGCCGTTCGGGCCGGAGAACACGCCGTACGAGGCGCTGGGCGGCGACGCGCGCGTGCGCGAGCTTGTCGAGACGTTCTACGACGTCATGGACGAGAAGTACGCGCACCTCCGGGGTCTGCACGCGGAGGACCTGACGAATTCCCGGCTGACTCTTTACGAGTTCCTCTCGGGGTGGCTCGGCGGGCCTTCGATCTACATCCAGAAGTACGGGCACCCGCGTCTTCGGATGCGCCACGCGCACGTGGTGATCGACGACCGGGGGGTGATGGAGTGGATCTCGTGCATGGACGAGGCGATGGACGCCTTGGGGATCGAGGGAGACCTGCGCGCGTTCCTCGACCAGCGGTTCGCGCACACGGCCCGGTTCATGCAGAACGCGTGAACCCGGCCCGCATCCGGGCGTCTGACCGCACGTAGAATGGATATCCGCGAGGATTCTTCCGGGGGATGAAGGAGGTTCCCGTGGGTCGGCTTGGTATGGCGCTCGTGTCGCTGTCGCTCGTTTTCTGCGCCCCGGCCGGGCTGGCCGCGTCGGACGGCGCTCCCGTGCTGACGAGGCACCGGACGAACGTCCGCGACTGGACGGTTCGCATCTACGTGAACCTGCGCCCCGACCGGCAGCGACGGGACCCGGCCGTGCCCTTCGAGCAGTTCCAGCTCCCGCAGAGCGGGTACATCCAGTTCGATCGGGCGACGTGCGCGTTCCCGCTGCTGGTGGAGAGCTCGAGCCACGAGGCGTACCTGGAACGGCTCGAGACGAGCGCGATGATCAAGGGGCACGTCGCGACGCGGGCGAGCGTTGTTGATATCGGCCCGTTCCCGGACGAGCGCGAGGCGGTGTACGAGCTCGGCCCGGTGCGGATGCAGGACATGATCTCCTTCCGGCTCGAGTACCCGATGACGTGCTACGAGACACGCATCGATGAGGGGCGGGCCTTCGAGATCGAGTGGCCGAGGGAGCTGTGGCCGGAAGAGGCGCTGGCGTACCTGGGCCCGCAGGCGTACGTCGAGTCGGACCACGACGACGTGGCGGCGCTGGTGGAGGCGTGGACGAAGGGCAACCCGCGGAAGGCGAAGCCGTACTACCTCGCGAAGTTCCTGACGGGGCGTGTGCTGGAGCACTACTCGCCGACGGAGGGGATCTACCGCGAGCAGGGCGTGCCCCGTCTCGGGCGGGTCGAGGGGACGGAATACCTCACCGGGTTCATGCTCGAGGGCGCGGCGCACGCGGCGCGGGCGAGGGAGGGATCGAAGAACGACCTCGTGAACCTGCTCGTCGCTGTGCTGCGTTCGGCGGGGATCCCGGCGCGGCTCGTGATCGCTGTGGATCCGATCGAGACGGACCGTGCCAAGTTCCCGGTGTTCAATGTGTGGGCGGAGTTCGCGTTGTACGACGAGCCGGCGGACCGGCTCGAATGGATCCCGGTGGACATCCTCGAGCAGCAGGCGTTCAGCTCGCGGGCCCCGGCGATCGATCAGCCCTGGGAATACTTCGGGAAGAACCTCACGCTCGACGTGATGCTGCCGGTCGCCTCCAGGTGGGAACCCCTCCGCGAGGGGTTCCTGGCGGAGTCGGCGCCGGTCTTCTATGGGTGGTTGACCGAGCCGATCCCGCAGTGGTGCCGGCAGGAGATCCGAGTCGTGGGGTTCGATACACCCATGAAGCCGGGGTACATCGAGCTGGAGAAGCGGAAAGAGCGGTCGAGGCCGCCCCAGCGCTAGTGCGGCCGATTCCTGAACCGGTGCATCCGGGTTGATCGCCTTGCGAAACGCACCCGGTGATGAAGCCCCCCCGACCACTCTCTGACTTCCAAGACTGCCCGCGGTGGATCCGCCGGTGGCTGCTCGCGGCTGGCATCTACAACATCGTCTGGGGCACGGCCGTTGTCGCGTTCCCGATGCTGATCTTCCGCTCGCTCGGGCTCGCCGAGCCGGTGTACCCGCAGATCTGGCAGTGCGTCGGGATGATCGTGGGCGTGTACGGCGTCGGGTATCTCATCGCGTCCCGGGATCCGGCGCGTCACTGGCCGATCGTTCTGGTCGGTCTGCTCGGCAAAGTTTTCGGTCCGATCGGTTTCGTGCACGCGATCTGGACGGGCTCGTTCCCCTGGGCGTTCGGCGTGACCATCGTGACGAACGATTTGATCTGGTACCCCGCCTTCTTTGCGGCGCTCGCCTTTGCGTGGAGATCTTCAATGACGATCGAACAGGATATCGAGAGCCCGCTGAACGCCCGCGAAGCGATGGCGCGATTCGAGGCGTCGTCGGGGCGGAGTGTTGCGGAAGAGTCGCGTGAGGGCGGGCTGCTGGTGGTGTTCCTGCGTCACGCGGGGTGCACGTTCTGCCGCGAGGCGATGGGCGATCTCCGTGATCAGCGCGAGACCCTTCGCGCCTCGGGCGTTCGGATCGTGCTCGTCCACATGAGCCGGGACGGGTCCATCGAACGGCTCGCGGCGAAATACGGGCTCGGCGACGTGCTGTTCGTGTGCGATCCGGACCGCGAGCTGTACCGCGCGTTCGAGCTTCGTCGCGGCACGCTCGGGCAGCTGTTCGGTGTGCGGGTCGTCTGGCGTGCGGTGCTCGCGACACTGCGCGGTCACGGCATCGGCAAGCTGGCCGGCGACGGGTTCCAGATGCCGGGGGCGTTCCTGGTGCGGGACGGCGAGATCGTGCGGGCGTACCGGCACGAGACGGCCGGGGACCGACCGGACTACTGCGTGCTGGCGTCGGCGTAGCGATGCCGCCCGCGGAACTCACTCTGCTGCTCTCGCACGCCGCCGCGACGTGGTTCATGGCGGGCGTGATCTGGATCGTGCAGGTCGTGCACTACCCGCTGTTCGCCGGTGTGGGCGAGGCGGGTTTTTCGTCGTACGAGCGGGAGCATCAGCGGCGGATCACGTGGGTCGTTGCGCCGGCGATGCTCGCGGAGCTCGCGCTCGCGGCGGCGCTCGTGCTGGTTCTCCCGGGGGCGCTGGCGTACGCCGGGGCAACGATGCTCGCGGTGATCTGGGTCTCGACGTTCGCGTTGCAGGTGCCGGCGCACGCGAGGCTCTCGGGATCGTTCGACGCGTCGGCGCACGCTCGGCTGGTGCGGACCAATTGGGTGCGGACGGTGGCGTGGACTGCGCGGAGTGTGATCGCGGCGGCGCTGTTCGTTTAGCGCACCAAGGAAAAACGCCCGGCGTCGTGACGACACCGGGCGCTCCTCCCTGTTTGCTTCCGTGTGCTGGCGTATCGCTTCAGGCGGCCTGTGCGACCTCGGCGCTCTCGGCCTTGGTGCTGATCGCTGAGATCTCCGCGGCGCTGAGGACCTTGTTGATGTCGAGCAGGATGATGGTCTTGCCCTTGACCTTGCCGATCCCGAGGATGTAGTCGGTGTTCACCGCGGTGGCGAATTTCGGCGCGGGCTCGAGGTCGTTGGCGCTGATGGACAGGACCTCCGAGACGGTGTCGACGATCACGCCCATGTGGAGCTGCTCGCCGTCGGTGGACTCGACCTCGACGACGATGATGCAGGTGGCGTCGGTGTACTCGATGGACTCGAGGCCGAAACGCGTGCGGAGCTCGACGACGGGGATGATCTTGCCGCGGAGGTTGATGACGCCCTTGATGTAGTCCGGCGTCTGGGGGAGCGGAGTGACGTCGATGATCCCGATGATCTCGCGGACCTTGAGGATCTCGACGGAGTACTCCTCCTTGCCGAGCACGAAGGAGAGGTACTTGTTGGCGTTGGCGTCGTTGTTGGCGCTCTCGTTCTTGAACGATTCGATGACGGCTTTGTTCTCGTTGCTCATGGGTGTTCTCCTCAGGCGGCGTTGGCCTTGGCGTGGTTCGCGATGGTGGGCTGCGCGTGGTCCCTCGTCTGAGCGTTGTTGATGAGACCGGCGATGTCGATGATGGGCGCGACGCGTCCGTCGCCCAGGATGGCCCCGCCCGAGACACCGTCGATCTTGCCGATGCCCTGGCCGAGGGATTTGATGACGACCTGCTGCTGCCCGATGATCTCGTCGACCATGAGGGCGACGCACTTGTCGTTGTTCTCGAGGACGATGCTCAGGGCCTCGGCGGGGTCGTCGATGCCTTCGCGGATGTCGAAGATCGACTTCAGGCGGTAGAGCGGCAGGAGCGTCCCGCGGACGGAGACCATCTCGCCCCTGCCCATGACGGACTCGATCTCGTCGGGCGTCGGGCGGTAGGTCTGGCGGATGGCGAGCGTGGGCAGCACGTAGCGCTGGCCGCCCACGCGGACGACCATGCCGTCGATGATGGCCATGGTGAGCGGGAGCTTCATGACGAAGGTCGACCCCTTGCCCGGTGTGGACTGGATCTCGACCTTGCCCCGGAGCGCCTCGATGTTCCGTCGGACGACGTCCATGCCGACGCCTCGGCCGGAGATGTCCGTGACCTTGTCCGCGGTGGAGAAGCCCAGCGCGAAGATCATGTTGTTGATCTCGTGGTCGGTGAGCGTCTCGGGGTCGCGGTCGGGGGGGATGATGCCGCGCTCGATGGCCTTCTTGAGGATCTTCTCCTTGGGGAGGCCCCGGCCGTCGTCCTGGACCTCGATGACGATGGACCCGCCCGCGTGGTAGGCGCGGAGGGTGAGGTTGCCGACGGGGTCTTTGCCGGCCTTGACGCGGTCGGACGCGGGCTCGATGCCGTGGTCGCAGGCGTTGCGGACCATGTGGACGAGCGGGTCGGCGATCTCGTCGACGACGGTGCGGTCGAGTTCGGTGTCCTCGCCTTCCATGTGGAAGTTGATCTTCTTGCCGGCCTTGGCGGAGACGTCGCGGACGAGCCGCGCCATCTTCTGGAACGTGGCGCGGAGGGTGACCATGCGGAGGGCCATCGCGACCTCCTGGAGGTCGCGGATGATCTTCACGACGTGCGACATGTTGCGCTGGGTCTTCTGGTCGCCGACGCCGCTCACGGAGGGGTCCTGCATGACCATCTGGTGCGCGATGACGAGCTCGCCGACCATGTCGACGAGGGTGTCCATGCGTCCGGTGGAGACCTTGACGGTCTGGTCGGTGTTCTTCTTTTTCTGCTGGGGTGCGCCGGTCTTCGCTTCGCTCTTCTCGGGGCTCGCGGCGGGCGCCGGGGTGTCGTCGACCTCGCCGCGGGCCTCGACGAGGTTCGCGGGGTCTTCGCCCTTGATGGCGCGCTGGAGTTTATCGAGGAGCGTATCGATCTGGCCTTTGGACGCGTTCGGGCCGGCGTCGAGCGATTCGAGCAGGACGGAGAGCACGTCGCAGGAGTTGAGGATCAGGTCGAGGTACGCGGAATTGAGCGTGATCTTGCCCTGGCGGGCCATGTCCAGGAGGGTCTCGGCCTCGTGGGCGACCTCGACGATGGGGCCGAAGCCCATGAACCCGGCGACGCCCTTGATGGTGTGGAAGCCGCGGAAGACGGTGTTGATGAGTTCCTTGTCTTCGGGGTCGGCCTCGAGCTCGAGGAGGGCCTCTTCGGCGCCGGCGATGTGCTCGCGGGACTCGCAGATGAACTCGTTGAGGTTGTCCTCGGTGCCCGGCGCGACGGACATCTCGACGGGGGTGGTGTCGTTGGCGGCGGGCGGGGCCTGCGGCGCGGTGGCCTCGGGCGCGTCGGCCTGCGGCGCTGGCGATTCCGGCGCCGGTTCGTCGGCCGGCTCGGAGGTGAGCCGCGCGAGGAGGGCCTCGTGTTCCGGCGGGGCGGCGCGGAAGTCCTGGCTGAGATGCGCGACGTAGTTCTTGAACCAATCGAGCAGATCGAGCACCTCGTCGGCGGGGAACTTCTCGCCGTTCGCGAGGGCGCGGTCGATGAGCGACTCGGCCTCGTGGCAGAGCTTCTGCGCGACGTGGAGCGAGAGGACGCCGCACTCGCCCTTGAGGGTGTGCACGGTGCGGCGGATGTCCGCGAGGGTTTCCTCGTTGCCCGCGTCGCTCTCGAGGGAGAGGACGACGGACTCGATGTCGCCGAGCATGGTTTCGCAGCCGGAGATCCAGCTCGCGAGGAGTTCCTCGTCGATGTCGTCGACGGTCTCGACCTTCTTGCTGCCATCGAAGCTCGGGGGCGCGAGGTGGTCGACGGGCTCGCCGGCGAGGGCGCCGTCGATGAGCTGCTGGGTGTACTCGATGGAGTCGGCGACGAGCTTAAAGGAATCGGCTTCGGACTCGACGTCGCGCAGGATGATGCGCTCGATGAGCGTGCCCGCCTGCGAGGCGAGGCCGCCGAGCGAGGCGATCTGCTCCGCCGCGTTCTCGAACGACGCGGCGTCGGCGGCTTCGATCTCCGCGACGAGCGCGTTGAGTTTGTCCTGGAGTTCGACGAGACCGGGGAGGTCGTCGACGTCGATCATGGCGACGGACTTGGCCAGATCCTGGACGGTGTCCTGCAGTGACATAGGCGTGGATCCCTAGCGACTCTGTGGTTGTCGGGCGACACGGACCGCTCGCGCGGGCCGCGGATGCGAACAGGGTTTGCATCGGCACGGATCGCGATGGGGATCACTCAACCTCGTGGGGCAGGGTCCGAAATCGGATCGTTTCCCCGGAGCGGGTGTGGCACGTCGTGTGGTCCGTGGGACTGCGCGGGCGCCGGGGCGGGGTCACCCGAGCTTTCGGACGCGGTCTGATCGGACCCTGGCGTTCCCGGGTGGTATGATTGCGGGCCACGCGCGGGCGTAGCTCAATGGTAGNNGCGTCAGCCTTCCAAGCTGAATGTTGAGGGTTCGAGTCCCTTCGCCCGCTTTCCTTCCCATCCCGTCTCGCTGCACGGGCCCCGTTTCAGGTTACGACGGCGGTTCCGAGTCGCTTCGCGAGCGACGTCGCGAGATCGCGGGTCTGGCGTTCCGCTTCCTTAAAGGAATGCGCGTGGCGCTCGTCTCGGAATTCCTGGAACTCCGAAGCGACCTCATGGAAATCTGAGTCGGCCACGCCGAGGAGGCGTGTGGCGATGGTCCGCATATGGGGATTGAGGTGATTCCACCCCTCTCTCGGGCCGCCGGGGCCGAACCCGAATTCGCCCCTCGAGCTGAGGAGCACCATCGCTTTCCCGCTGAGAACGGGTTCGATCGGGAAGTCGCCCCTCTCTAAATCGAACGTGAACGTGCGGTCGACGCGGACGACCTGATCGACCCAGGCCTTGAGGGTTGCCGGCAGGCCGTAGTTGTAGAGCGGCGCGGCGACGAGGACGAGATCGGCGGCTGCGAGCTCGTCGATCATCCTGTCGGACTCGGCGAGCGCGTCGCGCATCGTGCTCGTGCGCTCGTTCTGCGGCGTGAACGCGGCGGCGATCCACTCTTCGGAGACGTGCGGCGGCGGTGTGCGCCCGAGGTCGCGTCGTGTGACCCGGCTCTCGGGCAACTCGGCGATCCAGGCGTCGATGAACGCGTCGGCGAGGTGTCGGGTGATGGAGCGAGCGGCGCGGGCGCTGGTATCGAGTCGCAGGATCGTGGCCATGGCGTCTCTCCGGCATGTGTGCGGGCGGTCGACGATGCGATGCGCGGTGCGTGTTGAGGGTTACGGCGCGCGATCCGTGCGATATACCGCCGGTCGGTCGAGGGTTGACACGAAAATCGGCAGGTCCGCGAGCGATCGTTTCGGACTTTGTGCACGCCCGAAAAATCGCGGCTGGCGTTGCGGGAATGGCGTATCGGTCCATCCGTTCCCGGACGCGTCGAAAGGTTATCAGCACAGATTTTCTTCTTGGACTTCACTCACGCTTCGGCGGGGACGATGTTATCCCCACGCTCTCGCCGGTGGCCCGATAGGGGCCGGGGCAGGAGCGGCGAAGAGTGCAGGCAGTACTCGGACGCTCGCGGAGAGGGCGTCAGGTTATATGGGATCGCTGGAAGCGAGTTCGAAATCGTGAGCCCGTACCAGCCCATGCAGCGAGGTTCAGGGAGGACCTGATGAGTCGTATCAACACAAACGTTACTTCGCTGATTGCACAGCGCGTTCTCGGCCAGAACACCAATTCTCTGGCCACGTCACTCGAACGCCTGAGCACAGGCCTGCGGATCAACCGCGGTGCGGACGGCCCTGCCGCCCTCATCGCGTCGCAGAACCTGCGAGCCGAGCAATCCGCGATCAGCTCTGCGGTCAGCAACGCCGAGCGGGCGGACCAGGTCATCAACATCGCCGAGGGTGGTCTCGACGAGATCTCCTCTCTTCTGACCGAGCTCCAGGGGCTCGTGACGACGACGGCGAACACGGCCGGTCTGTCCTCGGAAGAGAAAGAGGCCAACCAGCTGCAGATCGACTCGATCCTTCAGACGATCGACCGACTCGCCTCCTCGACGAGCTTCCAGGGCACGAAGCTGCTCAACGGCAACTTCGACTACGACACCACCGACGTGTCGGCCGCCGTGGACGGGTTCACCGTCAACGGCGCCAAGCTGGGCTTCCAGCAGACGCTCGACGTCGATGTCCTCGTGACGCTCTCGGCGCAGCAGGCCGGCTACTACCTCTCGACCGCTGGCAACCTGAACCTCGGCGCCGCGACCGACCGCTTCGTCTTCGAGGTGACCGGCTCGAAGGGCTCTCGCGAGTTCACCTTCGCCTCCGGTGCCACGCGGGCCGACATCGTCGCCGCCATCAATAGCTTCTCCACCGTCACGGGTGTCTCGGCCGCGGTCGTCACCTCCGGTGCCGGTGCTCAGAGCGGCGTCCGGATCGATTCGATCGGCTTCGGGGCCGACGAGTTCGTCTCCGTGAAGGTCGTCGACGACGGCAACATCGCCGCGGGCGACGGCATCATCAACCTCGCGGCGGCGGACACCAACGCCCTCGGCGCCACCACGGTCGCGTTCAACGCGGTCGCCGCGGCGAACGGCCTGACCGATGACGGCCAGGACGTGGAGGCAACGATCAACGGCGTCACCGCGACGACCAAGGGCACGACCGCCCGCATCAACACCGACTTCCTCGACATCGAGGTCGACCTTTCCGCCACCTTGGGCGCCGGGGCGAACGCCCAGACGCTCGGCGGGATCGCGGCCCTGACGATCACCGGCGGCGGCGCTGACTTCCAGCTCGCCGGTCAGGTGGACGTGAACGGCAAGGTCGGCATCGGCGTCGGCAACGTGTCCTCTCGGACGATCGGCAAGTCCGATCTCACCGTGGCGGGCACGGCGGACACCTTCTTCCTGGCCGACCTTGGTTCGGGCTCGACGCTCAACCTGGTCGACGGCGACCTTGCCGGCGCCCAGGACGTGGTGGACCGGGCCATCCGAGAGGTCTCCGGTCTCCGGGGCCGCCTCGGCGCCTTCCAGCAGAACACCGTCGGGGCGACGATCCGGAACCTTTCGGTGACGCTCGAGAACACGACGGCGGCCGAGTCCATCATCCGCGACGCCGACTTCGCGACGGAATCCGCGGGCCTCTCCCGCAACCAGATTCTGCAGCAGTCCGCGACGCAGATCCTCCAGATCGCGAATGCCCAGCCGCAGAACGCACTGGCACTTCTCGGGTAAGCCGAGAGGCAGACCCTGAATCTCGACGGCGCCTCGGATCTGAGATCCGGGGCGTTCGTCGCGTTTAAGGGGATTGGGAATTCGGGATTTCGGGATTGCGGGATTGCGGGAAGAGGAAAACGAATTCGTTCGAGTCACGGGCCACGTATTCCCGTATTCCCGTATTCCCGTAATCCCGAAATCCCGCAATCCCCTCATCCCACTACCATTCCCGCATGAGCGTCCCCCACTGGTTGCGGAACGATGCGCGGGTGATCGAGGATCGCGGGTGGGTCGTCATCGGCGCGGGGATCACCGGGCTCAGCGCGGCCCTCGCGCTGCAGGACGCGGGGGAGGACGTGCTGGTGCTCGAACGCGAGGTCGTCGGGCGGCGCGCCAGCACGCGGAACGCCGGGTTCCTGATGCGGGGGGCGGCGGAGAACTACTTCCTGGCGTCGAACCAATACGGGCGGGAACTCACGAGGAAGCTCTGGCGGCGCACGGAGAAGAACCTCGAGGGGCTCCGGGCGCTGGGGATCGAGGGCCTGCCCTCGTACCGGGCGTGCCCGTCGTGCCTGCTGGCGTTCGAGGGGGGGGAACTGCAGGAGATCCAGAAGTCCTTCGCGATGATGCGCGAGGACGGGTTCGACGCCGAGTGGATCAACTCCGGCAACGACGCCGTGTGGGCCAACGCGTCGCCGCTCGGCGGGCTCGTGAACCCGAACGACGCGGTGTGCAACCCGGCCGAGCTGATCGGTCTCCTCCGCGAGCGGTTCGAGGGGACGATCCGCGAGCAGACGCCCGTGGGCGAGATCCGCCACGCGAACGACGTGATCGAGCTGTGCGTCCCGGGCGGGATCATCCGCGCCGGGTGCGTGATCGTGTGCACGAACGCGTATTCGCGGGGCCTTGGGGAGGTGATGCCGGACGTCCGCCCCAACCGCGGGCAGATGCTCGCGCTGCGGGTCGACGAGCACGAGCTGGATCTGGCGTACTACTCCGATCGAGGGTCCGAATACTTCCGCCAGGCGGACGAACGGACGGTCATCGTCGGCGGGCGGCGCAAGTACCGCGAAGAGGAAGAGCGGACGACCTCCGAGGCCCCCACCGCCGCCGTGCAGCGGGATCTCGAGGCCTTCGCCGAGTCGATCCTGGGGCGGCGGTACCCCGTGGTCGCCCGGTGGGCGGGGACGATGGGCTTCACCGGGGACGGCCTCCCGATCGTCCGGGCGGTGGACGAGGGGGAACGGGTGTGGTTCGTCGGGGGGATGAACGGCCACGGGATGTCGATGGCCCACCGGACCGCCCGGCTGGCTGTGGAGCACATGATGGGACGTGGGGAGAACCCGTTTCCGGATCGTGACGCGGCCCCGCGGGAAGATGCCGCCAAAGGCTGAGGCCAGAGGGGGGATGGGGGGTGACGGGGCGGCATGTCGCGGGTATGATCGGGGACTACACGCATCGGGGTGTAGCGCAGCTTGGTAGCG